TTCGCTCGTTTCTTGTGTGTTGCAAGACATTCATGTACCTATACTAAAACAACAATCAGTTTGATCGGATCTCTTTATTTTTCAGAGTTTTACGGAAGTTAAATTTCACTCGAGCAAATGCTTGCCGTGACACTTTTCAAGACTTTAATTTCATACAACTTTGGAGGACAATTTACAAAAAACTAAGGAACTCAGCAAAAAACAAATACCACAGCCATGTATATTAACTTTATCTTATCTATCGAGGTGACTTTCGTAAACATCACGTTTCAATCAAGGAAGCAGGAAGACTTGAATGACACCTTATTGGTTCGCCTAAATCACAGACGCCAAAACCGATCAGATTCAAAGTAAATTTTTGAAAAAGTGAGGCGTTCTAAACTGATCCAACTAACATAACTAGGAAGTAGGTACCATAGAAAAGGTAACTACAGAAAAAAACTTTGCGGCCCGACCTTTACGAGAACTTTATAACTCCGTGAACTTACCTAATTTTCGGTAATCTACAAGTTTGGCCGCCATTTTGAGGGACTTGTCAACATGAAGCGTAACCGATATAAATCAAGCAGGTAGATCTAAAACCGTCAGAAATACATACGACAGCAATTCAAATGAACTTTAATTTCAATTCAAGCGGCAAAATTTGAAACTGTTCGTTAAACTTGCCATCCCCATGCGACCATTTCTTCCAACAATTCAAACACTACGACTAGTGTTCGAATTCCCCTCGTCGATTCCACCGTAAGAAATAACCTGTGCCACCCAAGCTTCGACTCGAATGTGAAGTACGAATCAAATAACACAACTGCTTCATCTTCGCGGCAATATCACGCTAGTATTTTGACATTCGGATCGACAAGAACGGTGATCAGGTAGCGATCGCCACGTTTATTTCATAAACGTGCTCGCTCACCAGCCGCTGAGTGAAAACAGTACGGTTCAGTCGTGAGGGCGGGGTGAGGGGTGGGTGCGGGCAGATTATCAGAAGATTTTTGGGAACATTCGAACATATGCGTTAAAGTATCATGATAAACATTAGGACTGTCAGTCTTAATGTGAAGGCATGCTTCGTGTTGCAGACAACTTTTGTTTTACTTAGTATTCTTTTTTTCTTTCAAATACATTTCGTTCCAAATAGGACTGGCATCAATTCATAGATTTACAAACAAATCTTTACCACGTAAATAAATGTGTTTAGATAATCGTGATAACCATTGAACCTCTTGTATCGCACTAGAAATAACGTGTCTAGTCTTCGCCCAACTCTGAGAGCGTGGAGCGGCAAAGACGCGAGACACGAGTCTCGCGTATCGCGGCTTCTCCATGCTCACAGGATACGCGTGACCTCACCATCTTTAAGGAAAATAAGAGACTGCTCGAAGTCTGTATTCCGTTCAACCATTTCATAAGAGTAACGTGAGTCTTTCAATTGAGTGAGAAAGTCACAAACCCATTCTTTACCTCACGAGCGTAACCACTGACCACAGTAGGCTTCTCCTTTGACGCGGAAATTGAAATCGTATCGAGTATACAAAGTTATAATGAGTTCCTTTAGATCTCCCGAACTTTTATCGCGTTGGAAACAATTACAATTACAGGAAGAAGTCGTTCGCTAGCGAGACGTTCATTACGTCTCAGGACTGCTTTTTGAATAGCAAAGGTGGAAAAAACTTTGGTTGATCGCGTGGCTTAAGTGGTTTGGTACGACTGTCTGAATGCAATGACGAAGTAAAACATCATTTGATAAGCTGCCACCTGTCTAAAGAGGTCTTAAGTGAAAATGAGCTAATCTTGGCAAGGATTGGCCTATTTCACCTCGCTCAGGAGGATAAACAAAAAAAATGTGGATTTGCTATAGGTATCGCCACACTTTGGGGAAGTTTTGGAGAAATGCAAAGGTAACATGTCAGTATCCCGATCATAATGGTGTCAGGAAGCGTATCCAAGGCAGAGATGTAATTACCTTGCATATGTCTCAGGACATTCAAAAGCTGTTTGGAGTTATTATTGCAGTTGAATCAGGTAGTCTTCAGTAACATTTTCTGTTATATATTTTTGTCACGTGACATATTTGCTCGAAAAGAGAAGAAATTCTTTATTAGATGAAGGGTACTTAAGTACACATCACGTTGAAAAAACATAGATCTATGTGTAAGTGCTTTTAATTGCAGATGGAAATATGTACAATGTTGCTTGGTTGATAATCAATAATGTTTTTGTAGAAGGTTTAATCACCTGACAACGCAATACACTTATTTATGCGTACGGTTCACAATTATTTGCGGTCAGTTTTCCTCAGTTTGTATGATTCTCATTAACCAGTATGATTAAATTTGCAGACTAAAACACCCTTTATTTGATTAAGAATAATAGAAGTAAACAGTGCATCACGGTTTTCAATTCCTGATGGATGCTACTGGGCTTTACTTTAACTGAGAAATTTTCAATCGCTTACCTCAGCTCTCTGTGTCCCATGCCGTAAGAGGCACAAGAAAAAAGTTGATGATAGTGAGTCTTGGCTGAGACAAGAAGAATCAGAGAAGAACCTACGGTCCCCAGAAACGCCACTTTTAAACACGAGACAACTAAGGTAAATTGAATAAAGGGGTATTTGTTTTATTGAAAACTATCGTTTAGGTTATAAGATACGCAAATAACTCTCCCCACCGATTTTTTCTTACATTCTGTTAATCAAAAGTTTCAATAATTATAAAGGCTTTCTTTTTGATCCTCCTAATAATAACAGTTTCCAGGATCCAAGGGGAGCAAAAGAGAGAACAATTTTCTGTGTAGTTAGGTAAGGCGACATGCCGGCTTTACACTTCTTCCGGCGTGATAACGATAATGATGACAACAATGGGTAAAAAGCACCGTCCGCTATTGAGGACGATTATCATAGTTATAAACAAATCTCACTTATAGTCCTGAAAAAAATCTCAGGGGGTCCTTTGAACCATCCACTTCATCTCGCCAGAAGTCAAAGTTGCCTACACTCCTTCTAAGCTTCGTGCCATTTTACGACGAATTTTCAATTCCGGTGTGTTGCATGCGCGACTTTTGATAGGAAAAACCTGCACGCGCCATAACTTAAAAGAACGTCTCAGTGGAATGAATCAAATCTCTATCATTTTGCACACATTCTTGGGAACAGCAAAAATTACTTAGTACAAACATTCTAAGTATAGTGTTCATTCCGTGCAATGGGGCATAAATAAAAGGTTCTAGTGGAAAATGACAGGCAAAAAGGTTATATGGGTACCCTGGTTAAAAATATATTGATAATTCTATTAATTAATACCAGCTCTAATTTAAAGGAGAAAGTTATGAGAATAAAATAAAAGTTGTCTGTACCACGAAGCATGCCTTCACTTTTTAGACTGATAGTCCTAAAGCTTTTTAAGCATGTATTCGAATATCTTATGACAATAAGCCCGCCACCCACCCCACCCCGCGGTATACTGTTTTCACTCAGCGACTGGTCAGCGGTCACGTTTATGAGGGAAACATACCGATCGATTCCTGATCACCGTTCTTGTCGATCGGATAGCCTTCGCTCGAGTGAAATTTAATTTCTGTAAAACTCCGAAAAGTAAAGAGATCCGATCAAACTGATTGTTGTTTTAGTATAGGTACATGAATGTCTTACAACACACAAGAAACGAGCGAAATCCGTGTCTCAAGCAAAATCGACCCGACCGCGCTTACAGAGACACTCTCTTAAGAGGCTCGCTCATACAGGTCCATTTTGGTTAGGATTGCCATCTCTCCTTTTCAATTTTACTCAAACAATGTAGAATTAGAAAAAAACAACTCGGGAATATTTGAAAAAATGGATAGGTGGATAGTAACCCATTATTCACAAATGTAGTGGTTAGGAGTCGTGCCAAAAGCTAATAGCCATGTCCTGCAGATGTTCAAGTTGATTAAATTACAGTCACCAAAATTAGCTTCACTTGAAGTTTGTGAAATCATTGTTTGTTTTGGGCTACCAAGGAGACTGCGACTTGTACAATGCAACCTCGTCATACTAGTAAACCCTATGCGTATTGAGAAATTACACTCATTTAATTTTATCATTACGAAAACGAAAACAAACATCAAAAAAGTGAACTGCAATGCCCGTGGATATGTTCTGTTTTTTTTGTTTTTGTTTTCACCCTTAGTCTGAACCAAATTCTTGGCAAAATATGAAGAAAATTTTGAAAAAAAAGTTATTTCTTTTCTTTTCTCCATCGATCCCTTAATGTTTCGACGATACAATATTGTCACTTCAATCTGCTTGAAACGTGCGGCATCTCAGGAAAGAACAAAAAAAAATACGCCTTTAGCTCATACATCAACAGTTTTTTCCCATTAATTGCGCTTTGACTTTCTCAGCTCAATAACCGAACATTAAGTTGTTATTATAGGAAAAATTTCAGCATTTAGATCTGAAAACAGAGAAAAACACCTGTTCTTATCATGATATAATTTATTATAAAATTAGCAAAGCGAAGTAAGAATAGGAAATAAATTTTTGTCATGTTTTAGTGATAACAGTAGCTCACAATTTTTGTATTTAAATTTTGTGAAGGTTCTGATTGAAGGCGTCTTATATTTTTCTAGAATGTCAAATAGGTTTGTGTTTTATTCAGGAACCATAGGTTCATCCCACTCGATCACATCGTGTTATGTTTTTTTGTTTTTAAGTTGAAAGTCCATGCGGATTTTAACAAGTTATGAGCATTATTGTGCATATAATTCGCCTTATAGTTACTTACACGCCAATGTGTTTTTTTTTAATTCATCCATATTTGAACTCGTTGGGATCACGAAAAGAGAGAATATTTATGAGATGCACAAGTCATCTCGACGGGTAATAAGTGCCTTAAAATATTACAGCGAATAAATTCAACTTACTTTTCAAAAAAGATTTTAGGAATAAAAAATAACACGAGCTAAAAATTTTATTTATTTATTTATTGATTTATGTATTATTTGGTGGGTTATTCCATCTCAACAATTCGCCCAGAAGATATGGTGCTTTTCGAACATCCGACGACGTATTTATTGGCCGCGGGGTGAACACCATTAAAGTCAAGTTGTATACATATTTAGTTTTTATTCTCTGGGATTGAAACGTAGTCACAAGGAAAGACAACGATGCATAAGTTATAACCCGAGTGTGAACAAGTTCACATCGTCGCATCAAGAGGCTGGCTGTATTGAGCCCCATCTTCAAATTCTAGCTTTCCACCGTATGTTTACAAAACAATCTTCTTACAGTGTGTAAGACTTCCCCTCGTAACTCACTGACCCGCCAGCAATACAAGAATGGGTTAATTGACGAGTTCGTGAACATTAAAGTAGTGAAAAAGTTGAACTCTATTTTCCACTCTATGAAGGACAATCCATAAAGGAACAGTATCACATACATTGGAGAATAACAAATGATCAAAAACATGAAAAATATAAAAGTATTAATAGCGCTTCTACTTAGACGTCTCATATCTGTACCATTTCTTTCCAAAGGAGGGTGAATTGCTATTTGTTGAGCTAGAATCTGGGTTTGATGCAGGCGAACCACACGGTATATCAAAATATAACAAGATGCTGAAATTATTAAGCAGATTACAGTCACAATACCCATGGTAAATTTGTATATTTGTTCTATCCAAAAATAGGAGGCAGAAAGGAGTACGTTGACCAACCATATGGTTAGCGCAGCATATCTGACCCGAGATTCGGTGAACAAAGAATCATATCTCATGTGATATCGAAGAGCCATAAGTCGATCCACACTTATCGCAGTTATCGTCCAAAGCGTCACTGAGCACGCCGAACCCATTGCCACTGCCGACAGGTTTTGAACGAACTTATCTCTCGTTAGAATACCGGCTATGAAAATCGGTTGAGCCACGAAACCAACCAATAGATCTGAAACAGCAAGACTACAGAGCAGGGTCAATGAGTTTGGATGAATGGAAGAAATCTTCTTCATAGCAGCCAGGACGAAAGCATTCCCCACGATAGATGCAAGCAACAACGGGCAATTCAGAATGGCAATGATTCCGCGAGTTGTCTGGTCGTAAAAAATTGTCGAATGAGCCGTTGTCTTATTTTCTTTGTGGACGGTAAAATTCATCATCTCGATAGTTATCACCAAAAAGGGCAATTAATATTCTTTTTCTTCTTAGGGTACGTTTCACCAAGCCTGTATAAGCAACAGCTTAATCACAAATTGCAGATGCAATTTTGTTTGCTCCGTAAGGAACACCCCTTTCACATGTTGACGTTTTAATGACATGTTTTCCCTTGTTTCCCTTTTGGTACAGGTTTAAATTGCATCTTCTTGTTCGCTAGAAATAAACGTTTTGCCTATACATTTTATAGAACGACAGTATAACGATTATACATCTCTAAAATTATTCTCTAACAAGCCATTTGCCTCTTTTACCCAGGGAAATTATTCTAAGTTACTTCCTTGCCAACTGATCACTTCGATGTTTTGTCTATCAACAAACCTTTTCACATTTTAAGTCTGTCCATATTTTGCATATTTAGAAATAATTAAATTGTTGGAAGGGTACTTTAAGCTGAGAAATCCTCTCACTGAATTATCTAACAAAGTTAAACTTAAATTCGTGGGCTGTTCACCGATATTGATATGTCAATACTAACCTTGAAACAGAAGAAAAAGAAACCATCAAGCTTTTGACGGAACGCCAGTTACGATCTAAGCTAAATAATGAAAAATACACATTATATAGCACCTGTCCAAAGTGAACACGAATTAATGAAAGTATTTGGAAGATTTTCAATTTACGCCAAGGTAACCAAAAAGACTGATATAAAACTAGAAAAAAAATCAGCTATTTCTTCGAGGTCTTCGATGCATACTCAGCCTGAAATGTTTATATTGGTCATAAACATCCTCTGATTATTTATTCTAAGAGTCATCGATGTCAACAATCTAGAAATTAGACCAGAAACCACAAAACTGCTCTGACTGAGGAAGTTGAAGAAGACAATAGAAGCTGTCAGAGAACCTGAGGAGTTAAATTGTATTTTGGTGGGTAAATTTACATATTTAATTGATAGACAAAGGCTAGGTGAAGTTTTAATAACAAGTTTTTAATAACAAACGTGTTCAACTTCAATAGCGTGTCACAGGTTATTTTCTTCAGTGAGAAATCTGTGATTGGGACTTCGGAGAAGACATCAACTCCTTGGTTTTACACAAATAATTTTCTTCACGCCGAGGATTTTAATTTTGATGATCCATTAGTTTTTTTTCTTTGACAGCTAGATACCTTAGTTTAATTACGTAATAACTTCTCTTCAGGTGACACTTTCGTGGCCTATTTTTTAATCTTTTTCAATATTTTTTCTGAAAGCCCTAGCTTAATGCACCAATCCTTTTTCCAAGATTTAATTAAATATACCATGGTCTCGAAATTACCCAGGACGATCCCCAACTGGCTTATCCTTAATTAGGGCTCACCTCTTTAGCTGAGACGTTGCTATATTAAACGAGAAGAGAAAGGAAATAACTGTCCCCATTTATTAGAATTTCTTATGAAGTGGACTTACATGCAATAAGACCGTGGGATTGCCTTATTGATCAAGATTGTTTCTTCAGGATCAAGTTTAAAAATTTAGAACGCATTGTATAAACTGACATGGTCGTTGTTTCTGACAATATATACCAATCACATAGATCTGTTTAAACCTGCTGATAAATTTCAGAAGGCAAGTTGAAACTTCCTCTGTTCGATACATACGCTCTATTTGGATTGTAATGGTTCCAAATAGGGTGAATACGGAAATTCCATCAGCATTTTTTGGTAAAGAATTTGGGATAAGAAACGTGACCAAAGACCATACTGTCTCAAAACTCGTGATCGTCTAAATTGCCCCACAATGTTTTTATCTTTGCAGAGTAGCATTTCGAAGCCGGCCGTGATAATAAAACCATATACCATTCATTGAAGCTCGATCACTTTCGCATAGACCTCGTTGCTTAAGCGATATTTATGACTGACCTATATAGCTTGGTTCTCACCGGCGGCTGAATAGTCATAATCATAAAGTGTGATTTAATTTAGTGGAAACACACCGGTGTCCCAAAACTGAGAAGGTTATTGGATAGTCTGTATTAACGTAAAGTAAATAGCAAAATGCGAGAGCCGTGGATCCTATTTAGACAAAAGTGGGACTCTAACACTGAACCCTGAAATTTCTAATGACACTGCGATGAGTCTTCTGGCCTCTATTTTTCTCTATTTTTTGTTATCAGCTGGATCTTTGTCACTTTGAGTGTAAGCGTAAACTCATGATCATAGATTCTTTCTATGAGATCGTCTTCTCCAGCCATAATTAAAGTAAGTAAAAAATGATGTCGCTATCTTTTTTATTATAAGTGGTCGTTTTGTATTCAAAGTGAATTTATCTTTTTATTGTTGTGCTATGATATATAATTCCTCCTTAAAAAAAGCATTTTTTTCTGATATCCCTGCAATTATTTCTTAAGACCTTCTAAATCAGTAAAAATAAAACGATTTTTATATTCATATTTTCTTTCCCTCAAGTTTTCGAATGAGGAAAAAAAGACAGTCCATACTAAATGGTGTTATGGTAGTCTTGAGTTTCGTGAATGTTTCCTTCACATTGCATTTAATGGCTAAAAGGTCGAAATATGTAACGCTAGATTGGAAAGGAACGGCATATTCCCATTAGTTTTCAGGGTAATCAAGTAAAAAGTAAGAGAGTTCATAATCTCTTAGTGAAAGGTTCACGATAGAAGATAGTAAATTTGGAAAATCTGATATTGTTTTTCCGAGTTGCTAAAATAATTTTACAAAGTGTTAAAAGAATACTTCACCTGTGGTCAGGGAAGCTTCATAATAATAAAAGTCAACAAAAACAATATTAATATCTACATGATAAATTGTTGTTCATCGATTGTCAAAGAAAGAATTTCTAGATTTCTCTTCTGCGAAGAAAGTTTTTATATACATATCTGCCCTTACATACCGAGATACAATCTATATGTATAATGAGGCACTTTTCTCTCGTCCCAATTTTTTAGTTACTCAGGAGCAGTTCGTTCTCATTCAGTTGAATTGTTAAAAGACAAATGTTGGAATCGTGGCAAAGAAGATAATCTTATATAAAAGGACAAAAGGAAAACGAAAAATGGAGATGATACTGCTAGAGTAAACCGGATTTGCCAGAATAAAAATGACCGTAAAAACAGATTCGTGAAATGTCGCTGCTAGAAATTCATGAATTTTTGCACGAGAATCACTTGTTTGTTTAGTTTATTAATTTTTCGTACTCGTTTTCTTCTTTACAGCCTTGCACCCAAGAGGAGAACAAAAAGACAAGCTGTGCATGTGATTTGATATAGTTTTTTTTGGGCTTAAAGAGAATATTAGTACTGAAAGCCCCAGGACATTTTTGCTTAATGATTGCACGCATGGAGTCTCAACAGTTGTGTAAATGTGTGCCTTTTAATTAAAAAAAGGCGCCAATATCATATAAAACTTTGAAAAAAGATAAATACGAGCTTTCGTGATTATCTCTCCGGCAGATCCCAATTGTGTTAAATATTGGATACTTGGCTTGTTGTTTTTCTCCACCTTTGACAATGTGCTATTGTTTTGCAAAAAAACCTCAATATTTTTTGGTCTCAATTTTCATACCGTGGCTCATGTCCTAAAGCTAGAATAAACATGTCCACATAAAACGGATACTTTAGAGTTTCCCCTGCAGTTCATTTATCGAAAATGCCTTATGAATAAGCGACTCTCCGTTGAGTAACATTTTGCAAGGTATGTACACACGTTTCCAGATCTTTGTTTTCAAAAAAGTATTGCGTGTCCGATCGAGTAATCATTTTCCGGCACGAATGGACCAAAATCAATATATTTCAACAAATTTCAACAAGTGGAAATGTGATTCAATCTTTTACTTTTCGTTCAAGCTGTATTGCAAACATGGTAAATTTGCCAAAAAAATAAATCGTTTAAAATATTCTGAATTTCCCTTGGTTTGCAACATTGGAAATGCATAATTGAAGGAACACTTATTAAAATGTGAAAATCCAGCTGCACCCTAGAATAAATATATTTCTTATTACGTGAGATAGCTCATCAATTTATCATGACTTTGTTCGATTCAGAACACATTGGGTAGGTTCTGTGGCTTGGATTCACGACGCTCTTTCTCACGAAGGATTCACGATTTATCGGTAAGATGAGCTATGGCGATGTTTGCAAAATCCATAGCCATTCACAAGACGGCCAGTCCGGCTTTAAAAACATTGTCATTATAAACTGCATTATCAATGCTGCGCTGCTTCTCATATCCATCCTGGGCAACGGTTTGGTATTGACTGCTGTTATAAGGACACCTTGCATTCGAACAACATCGATGAAGATACTGTCAAATCTGGTTTTTTCTGACTTTCTTGTGGGTCTTATTACACAACCGCTATATATTGCTAAGGAACTTACCAGAGACCGTTGCTTGGACATCCTTTGGGACACAGTTGCATATTCATTTTGCGGAGTTTCTTTGTTGATCATCACGGCCATAAGTGTGGATCGATTTTTGGCTTTACACCTCCATATGCGATACGCCGCTGTAATGACGAAATCGCGAATCAATTCAGCCATAGCTATCATTTGGCTTGGAAACTTTCTATCGTCGCTTTTCTTCTTTTGGAGCAGTTTTGCGTATCACCTTATGATCGCTATTGTGACAGGAACCTGTCTGATAATTTCTACATTTTCATATATCTACATTTTTGTGGTTGTTCGGAAACATCAGCAGCAGATTCATGCTCAGCTAGGCGCCATGCAAGCGCCTTCTACGGGAACCGCCAGGGACATGCGAATGCTGCGTCTGAAAAAGAGCTTTGTAAACACTTTCGTTTTTTATGTAATCTTGGTCATGTGCTATCTTCCAATGTACATTTTATTAACTCTCCATGGCATCTCACACCAGCCTTGGCCGGAAGAATGGAACTTTGCTACAACTTTGATATTCATGAATTCGGCCATAAATCCATTTCTGTATTGCTGGCGTTTGTGCGATCTCCGGGAAGCAGTTATCCAGACTGTTAGGAGGTTGGTCATTAGAGACGACAATCAAGAGCATGTGGTGAATATGTAGATAAGTACAGACACGATTTAAATCAATATAATGAACAAAGAGCAGTTAATTCTACAGACTCAAAAATAAATAAATGAAAATAAAGGAAAAGAAAAAAGGAGAAAATGAGTTCTTAACGCGTGTATCAAATAATCTCTTTGAAAAATCTAGGAATTTCTTAATCTTATCTTTCTGTTCGTTAGTTCATGAACACAACAGTTGGTGTTTTAGGCACTCTACCCCGAGGCTAAAAACAGTTTATTTGATCTAGAAACAAACTGTCAGATGTTTGTGTTAGCTTGAACCAACATTGAAAATAGAATTGGGACGAGTGCAGCACGGAGATGTCAAAGAATAAGACCAAACTCCACTATGCGGGTGATAATGAAAGATCATCTTTAGAGAGTTTTTCTTAGCATACATTCGTACACAACAGATGTCTTTTGTCTTTAACTTGAAATACATTCCTTTTGTGGTTTGCCTCTTTAACTGAGAGAAGTGTTGTAGTCTATAATATTTAGATGTGCAACACTGACTTTTCAAAAAAAGATGGAACCAATTTGATGTTTTCCCAAATTTCACTAACCACGCTGAATTGATATAAGCCTTTGTAATTAGTAAAGCAAACCGTAAAGAAGGTATTTGTCCATTGCAATTTGTCCATGCATCTTCTATCTAGGATTTGAATATTTATTTGTATTGATAAAAAAAATTATTAAAAAAATGAAATAAACGTAAACGTCATTTAAAACTTACCTTGACTTGGGTAAAACCAGTTCCCAATTCTTTTCCTTCATTTCCGTCTTAGTATTACTTAACAAGGCTGGCCCATTCACATCAAAGCTAAAAGACGTTTTAACTTTTTCTTTCTTAGACAAAGTTTGAAATTATTTTCTTGAATGAAGCTGCCTAAACTTTAGGTTTTTTGCCTTGAATTTTAAAATCATGAGAATAAAATTTAATTACTTGAACGCTATTAAAATTGAGTATTTCTGGTTTATGTATACGTCAAGTAAATCATCCAAAATATTGTATTTTAATATTATGTACGCACCATGGAACATTAATGTTTCACAATAGTCACTCAAGTTTATAATCTTCCTATATGCATAATATCCGCCTCTTGTACCTCAAATTGCCCTTACTGTTACTCAAATGTTCTTCTTCTTCGTAATTAAACATTATCATGTTATTTCAAAATTATTCAAAGGTGGAACTTTCAAAGCCTTGATGTGCGCCATTCGAATGTTTTTGGCTTGACGATATCACTGCTTGGCCTTAAATAGCATGAGAGTCTTTTTTTTGGTGTTGCGACGCGAATGTTGAAACCCGTGGGCCTGTTTCACCCGGTGAGCGAAGGGAGCGTGCGGGAGGTCTTTGAGAGGTCGTACATGCTCGCCTTTACTCGCTTCGCTCGCAGGAATCAATCATATGGGTTGCACCGCCCGTAGCGCAGCGCCAGTGAGCTGCCTCTAACTGAAACCATATTGAATTCAATTGCGCAAGAAATTTATGCTTATCAAATATAATGACGTTTATATTTACCTTTTACTTCCTCAGAAAGAAGATATTAATTTACATGACTTGTCTTTATCACAACAGTCGTTAAACTTTGCAGAAAAGGTACATATTTTTTTAATGAGATACGGTTACTGAATACCTAGCTATATAACGCAAAGCAATATTCAATGAAGAAGAAGATATCTGTGCTAACTCCTTTCACAAACAATATCACCATTTCGTTTGGCAGTTCCTAAGAGCATATGTTAGCCGATTAGGTGACTACCGACAAATTTGGCACCTTTCTTAATGGGTTTTAAACAATAACTTGACGGGTGCAAGATTGCCTGCAGACCTATTCCTTTGTTTTTGTTGGCAATTATATTTTGTCGTAGATTAAACTTCAATGAGAAACGATTAAACAGTGGAGGCGTTAGCCAAACAAGTCCCTTATGATTTTTAAAAACTTTTAAAGCGAGTGACTTGGACGCGAAATCTAAGCTCGAGTGTTTAATTTATTCCCTGTGATTAAAACAGAAGCTTAAATAGAATTCATCCATAGATCTTTGAGCTACGTTTTGTTTTCTGACAGGCAAATGTTATTAAAGATAAAGATAGCTGCGAGCTGCAATTTATGATAATTGAAGATCTTCGCCTGAATAATATAGGCCAGTGTCATTTACATGTTTTAATTTTCGTATATAGAAGACTAACTGCTTTCCGCATATAAACATAATATTTGCCACACTGGGCCAAATTCTTTGAAATTGGAAAGTTTTCAAGACACAGATTGAAATTCGTGAGACAAGATGGGTTTCAATCTACAAAATTACTGAAACGACTTTGTGAAGTTCGATATTTAAAAATACTTGCCAACTATGAATTCGACCAATATACCAGCGAAGAACGAGACATCAACATTTGAAGGAAGTGGAAATCCCAACACGTTTGCTTTTATTAACGGAATCTTAAATGCTCCGTTAATGCTGAGTTCCATTATCGGAAACGCTTTAGTTTTTGGGACCATTTTAGCAACTCCTTCGCTTCGTTCATCAACTACCGTCTTGCTTTGCAGTTTGGCTCTATCAGACTTGCTTGTCGGACTTGTGGTACAGCCTCTTTACATTGCTAAACAGCTAGATATTTTTAACAGATCCCGCCTCGTCGAAATCATGGAATTTGCCCTCTGTGGTGTTTCGCTCTGTACAGTAACAGCTGTGAGTGTGGATAGATTCGCTGCACTGCATTACCATATGAGATATCCTACTGTAGTCACCGTTCAAAAGGTTTTGTACATATCAGGCTTAATTTGGCTCGGCGTAGGTCTCTTATCCGGATTTTACTTCTGGAGCAAGTATTATTTTTACCTGGGAGTATCCATTTCCATTTGCATTTGTTTGATTTTCTCCTCCTACTCCTACTATCGGATCTTTCGAGTCGTTCGACAGCATCACATACAAATTCAAGTTCAGCAACATGTAATGGAAAGCGTAGATCTCAATGTCACAAGCATGCTTCGATTACAAAGGAGTGCTGTGAACACTTTTGTGTTTTACTTTGCAATCATTGTGTGCTATTTGCCATTGCTTGTTTCTCTATCACTGAATTTCTTTTCTAAAAAGCTCTGGTCAAAAGTGTGGGAACTCGCGGATACCGTTGTGTTTTTAAACTCTTCTATCAATCCAGTTCTATATTGTTGGCGCTTAACAGAGCTTAGAATCGCAGTAACGCAAACGATAAGGCAAATTTTATGTAGAACACCGCAGGGGAACTAAGATTTTCAGAACTAAGGGAGACACTGTGTTTCTCCCACCTGACAAGATGGATCGCTTTCGCTCTTGGATGATTGCCCCAAGAGAAGGTCGTGCTTTTTAAGCGTGGTGATTGATTAGTTTGGAAACAACAGCCAAGAGCAATTTACCATCTTGCAGAAATTATCACCATGACTTGTGCCAGTGACAAAATAAAAGGGAAATAAAATTGAAAATGAAATATCTGTTTTGCTGCATTTTTCGAAGACATGAATAAAGCCCAGTGGAAGAGAAAACACTTGGGAACTCTAATTGTAATTAACTTTAGGTAGTTACACTTATCCATACTGTAGATAGCGAAACGTCGAATCTTCCACCATATGTCGGGATATAGTCTCAAATAAAGCAATTTTTTTTTGTCCGCTAGTTGTGTCACCTGTATATATGGTGCATACTAATAAACGATAAACTTCCTTGGGGGTTCTGCGAAAATAATAGATATTTACCTTCCTTCTTTGCCGGCCGGTAAATATCATCCATTATTAACCACCATTTCATTGAATTACTGTTTATTGTGCACACCAGCTTGATGAAAAGAACTAATTCTATCTCACGTTCCTTAAACAGACCATTCAACAAAACATTGGCTGACAATAATGAATCCTAAAACAATATGCTTCACTTGAAGTTTTTACCAGCAAATAATTCGTAGTTTGGGAATATACCTTTCTTTTTAATGGCAAACACCTAAAGGACAATTTTAAAGATAACAACTAACTTACTAAATAAATCAAGTTACAACATAGCCTTTTCCTTAGAACGTCTCATTTTGGGGATGAGGCTAAACTTTCTTACCTTTTTCTTTTTTTGCGATTTGAGCCTGAAAACGTTCTTAAAATGATTTTTAGCAAGTTAATTTTGATGTGACCAAAAAACCTGTCGAAATGTTTTGTTTCCAGTGATGTGGAATTATTTCTGCTGCCTTTAATTGTAATTCTTCCTAAAAAAAAAAATGAACAAAATAAAGACATTCCTAATAAACTGACTCTCTGCCTGGATATGTCCTTAGGAAGTTCTTGCAATTTTGGTTAATCTCAGCCTGAACTTTTTAATATAAAAAAGGAGAATATTACAAGTTAATTTCATATCAGTTAATTTTATCGTTTTGTAACCTGACTACAGCATTTTCTTGATAAACAATCCAATTGTTACTTGACAAGATATACTCACAGCAATGAGCAATAATTTCCTCTATCTTAACAAAGTTTGTTTTCGCACAATGGAATATGTTCACTGAAATTTCAGTTTCAAATATTACATTATAAGGTAGGCAGTCTTGCGAAGTTTTCTCTCGACAGATAGATGTCTCTTACGTAAATATTTAATTTTAAATGTAATGCTCTTATCTGTTTGAGGATTAAACGAATTGAATATTTCCTTGTGACAGAAAAAAATCACTATCATTAAATTTTCAACATGGAATATTGCGTTTCTAACGTTCTGATTCGTTCACTCAGTCCCATTTATCAGCTCATATTTCGAGTCACCTTATAAGGATATACACTGCACCAACTGATGCGGAGCTGAGGGAACAAGAATGGATGACTATACATAAAGATGAAACACCCGTTACGGATAAAGTACTTAAAAAGAAAGTATTTAAAAATTCGGTAAAGAGGTATGCAGTTTGTAGACAATGAGGACCTTAAGCATTCAGAACCGTAACATCGAGGATGATAACGCTCAAATAAATGTAGATACATTTTTAGTTGCATTTTTCGTGCCCCAAACCTCCTGCGTGCATCCATAACTCGACATACGCACGCTAAGCACGAACATATTCTTAAATTGTATGTTATAAAATATGAAGACTGAACTAGTCAAAACGAAGAATACTTTTTGAATGCATCCAAAGCAGAACTGCTATGAGTGTCTTTCCCTTAATTTTGAATGCCGAAAAATTCCCTCCATACTCTAACAACTGCAGCACGGAGATCAGGTAGACGCCAGCAATACAAAAGAGGATTTATAGCTGAGTTCAAAAATATCAAGGTATCCGTCAAGATCCAAGCTGTCTTCTTGTAAGTGCTAGTATCCGTAAGTGTCAATGAGATAAACCTTGGTAGATAACAAATAACAGTACAGATATAAAATACAAACGTGTTCAGAGCGCTTCCGATCAACTTTTTCTGACTAGAGAGTTGTCCAACTGAAAGCTGTCGATTGCCAGATTCTCGATGTTGAATCTGTGAACGATGCTTAAGAACAATCTGATAAATTCTAACGTAAAAATTAGCCGAGGTTATCAGATACGCAATGATAAAAATGGCCAAAACAGCAATGTAGATCGCAGAGTCCCAAAATATCAAGCACGATAGAAAGAAAGTTGTTATCCATATAGTCAATAACGCAGATGTAGCACGAAATGACGTCATCAATGCGTTATATCGTAAGTGATAATGGAGGGCCAAGAATCGATCAAAGCTAATGGCGGCCATTGTGCCAAGCGATACCCCACAAGCAGCAAACGCCATAAGGGCTGTAAGAAGTTGAAGGAAATACACATCTATTAGAGACGTGACGATGTAAACTGGCTGAACTATTAAACCGACCAGAAGATCAGAAATAGCCAAACTAAAAAGAAACATTGTGGATGGAGACCGAAGTGATGATGTCTTCCATATGGCGATGGAGACCAAACAGTTCCCTAGAATGGAGACAAGTATCATGATCCCGTTTATAACGCAGTTTACGACTACAATATTTCCATATGATGATGCATTCGCTTGGAATTTGACTCTGGTATCAGCTGAATTCCCAGTGGTGCTCAAGTTTCCGTTGTACATCTTCGACGAAGCTGCTTTAGTTTTTTAGCGGAAACATTGACCATCTGGATTCCTCGAGAGCTCAAACCTCCATCAAAAAATAGACAAAGTGCCTCATTGACTAGAGCTTTGTCAGTAAATTTTTCATTTTCAATTAAGTCGCCTTTTAGAAGTTAAGTTCATAGATTTGTAAAGAGCAAAATACTCATTAATTTATGAATAGGATGATGAAAGGCCCCCGTACCTCAATGAAAATATTATATTCCTTAAAGTCCTGATATTTGGGTCTTGAAGTAACGACTTCCTTTCTTGAATGTTTTTTTTCCTTTACATTAACGTGGGAATGGATAATGAAAGAGGATAATTTTTACCTTTAATTTGTCGGCTTTTTTTGTGTGTGTTCACTCTTCCCAATTCAAAATATTCACACAACAAAACTTACAAATTTAGGGACTTTTGGGTGTCCATTTGCAAAACAATTATTTGCAAGACACGAATGGCAATCGCATCCTCAATCTTAATCAAGCGAACGTCCCTTGCGTTTATTTTTCGTGAGAAATGGTGTTCAATTATTTTCGTAATTTGTAAACCTTTTTTTGCATTTTATATCTAACTCCATTCTACTGCCACTAAAGTTTTTAGCATAACAAAAGTGAATAGTGAATATTGTTAAAGTACCTTACTTGTGAAAATTGGGCTAGAACGTCATTTTCATCTGTCTAAATTTTAAGTAAGACCACCGTGTAACACCTTGAGAAAATCGCAAGGGAGAAGGAAAATGTGTTTCCTTTACAAGAGTAAATTTGCAATATATCTTAGTCGTTCACAAATTCAAGCTTTGCCACCTGCATCTTAACGACACATTACAGGGATTTAAGTGTTTAATATCACAAATTCGAACATAAATTTCCATGTTAGAAATATCAAAAATTTACCCAAGGCCGTAGAGGAAAAATAAAAGAAATGATGCAAAGAAGCAAAAACTATAAAATAAAATCGAAAATCGAAAACGCAGTTGAACAGGCGCTATACCTTCGTTCGCAGATTTATCCTTCAGAAAAAAAAACTTTCAGACTTTAACTAATTGACAGAATTCTCTGAAATGATGATTGGATAAAGATATGGTAAAAAGCGAAAAAGTTGACAAAAGAAAAACATGCCTTTCGAATTCAATATCACTACTTCCTTTCGTATGGCGTTGAAAGTAAAACTGCATCATCATTATGTAATGATCAATGTGGTTAAACAGGAACTGAATTTCGAATTAAGTTTTCAGATCTTGAGTATCGACGAGTTGTTCGCAGAATTTGGGTCTTCTTTTAATCATCTTTACCAAAAGACCACTTGTGAGCCTGTCAAAGATGTCCATCTTATCGTGTAACGCCATAGAGAAAACCTGCGTATATTGTTGTATCGTATACACGGAGACACAGCGAGGCCTGTCCAAAAAACGTAATTTGGCATAAGAATCTTCCGGGAAGGCTAATAAATTCTTAGAAACTATATAAGCAAATTTCGTGTAAATTACTCGATTTCTACGTGCTTTTAGTCAAAATTTTTCTTTGAATGAGTATGTCTGCTGAGATGTCATTCAATGTTTTTTTTTTCGAAGACAAAGACATTCAGAATTTGATTGTTCAATGAGACTGTTCATTAAGCCTTTTATTTTTTACTTAACGCCACTTAACAAAATTTGAAGCGACTAGGAATGGTGCCCTTCAAATTTTAAAATAACTCTGTATTTATTTTCCCATGAATTTGGTTTGTATTGCTTCGCATCATCCGAAAGGCTTGTCTCTTTCTGACATGCGCAGTGGTGAAAAACTCTGGTTTCGAGAGTGATTCGGTTGTCACTTTTATGATATCATCTAAGGGCTCTATTTCCGTTTCAATTTTACCAAAAATTTGTTCTCTTTCAAAAGTAATACTGATTTACATCAGTAGATTTCACTTTCTGATTATTTCTGTTCTTTTGATGGATTCAAGCGGGTAACAAAATTTTCTTGCAAAATTGCTGTTCATGATAGACTTGAACAAACAGTGATAAAAACATAAAGTATATCTTACTTTTGGATTGGTGTCTTACAGTTTCTGTCAGATGTTTGTCTCCCCTGTAATAATTACGCCAGGAAATTGTTGACATTTACAAGCAATCTTCATGAAATGAAACCAGGTGTAAAAATGCATTTTAAATAAAAT